TTCCAGGGTGCTGCCTTGAAGTATTTGCCAAGCATAATTAATGATGTCAAACTAGTCTTTGATCCAGTGGAACTCAGGTACCATATTTCCCACCCTTTATCGATGAAAAGTAGATATCAAATTGCATGAGTTGCTGCAAAAAGCTCACCATAACAGTTATGCCGTATTGTAATTTTCTTTTCTTATTGGAGGGGAAGGCCACAAAGTTTTGGATATGGGAAGATAAAATTCAATCAGGATGCTTGGGTAAGGAATCCCTATGAACAAGGGGAAGAGGGGACAAAGGAAAATGAATGACAAGTGTATCATGACATCATTGTCTAAAGCCATAATGGTGAACCTATGACATGTGCCACAGGTGCACAGGTGTGCTTTTGGGCACACAATGACAAAAAGGTTAGCCATCGCTGGTTTAATGGATACAACTTGCATACTTTGAGAAGAGAGGCTCATTGGAAAAGACCGTGATGTTGGGAAAGATTGAAGGCAAAAGGAGAAGGGGACGGCAGAGGATGAGATGGTTAGATAGTGTCATCGACACAATGAACATGAACTTGGGCAAACTCTGGGATACAAGTGGAGGACAGGAGAGCCTAGCATGCTACAATCCATGGGGTCATGAAGAATCAGGCTCGATTTAGCGATTGAACAACAAGAATATAGTTACATCAGATATCACGACATCATCATTCCACCATTTGTGTGACAATACCACAATGCACCTGTTATTCCATTGCATTACCCTGGGAATTTATTTTATAGCTATGTCAAGTTGCTGCCTTCTATAAATGTTAACTAAAACAGTGTCCAGAATATTAATGGAATAAAATATTCTTTCTATCCCCATTTCCTGAACCTATTTCAGCGTCCTTTTTAGCAAATTTATTCAAAGCATCCCTGATAATCAGCTTGTCCGTCAGAAGCTCAATTGTATGACCAAGATTGTGGACAGTGACCTCTTCCGTCAGTCTGGTGAGTTAGGTCTTGTTCTCTTCTTCTCTTTCTTTCTCTTTCCCATTTTCAGCGTTCCAATGATGTACTGAACTCTCAACATGCCAACTGCTCTACAGCAGGGGTGGCCAACTAGATTTCATTGAGGGCCACGTCAGGGTTGTGTTTAACCTCAGGGGCCGGGTGGATGTAGCTTGGGGTAGGTGTGGCCAGCTCGATATCATTTGTGTTGTGGACACCTCTCCCAGATTCCGTTTTTGGCTGCAACAGCCTCCTGTAGCCATCTGCCAACAAAATCGGAGCTCCGGAGAGTCACTCACCACCTTCTTGAGCTCTGTTTTTGCTGGCAAAGTGCTGCAGGAGGCCATTGCAGACCTTGGGAGGGCCACACACAGTCCTCCCAAGCTCCAGTTTCTCTGGCAGAGGCACTGTAGGCCAGTCCTTCACTGTTTCCAGGGCAGCCCTGCGGGTCAGACCTAAGCATCCTGTGGGCCAGATCTGGCCTTGAGTTTGGCACTCCTGCTCTACAAACTCAGTGGGGCATCATGGCATCTTCTACCACGGGTCATAGATAAGTCAATGCAGGCAGTCAATGCAGGGAGTCTGTGGAGCTGTGGACTGACAGTTGAAGGATTGCACTATTTCTTTGTCTATTTACCCCACCTTCTAAGTGGTTTAAGTGAAGGGGTAAATATAGCTTTCCGTATCATAGGGATGTTTAAAATTACAACTCAGTACTTTTTGGAGATCTTCGTTTTTCCTCTATTCCTGAATTATGGGCAAAATGTTGATTCCGTTTTTGGACTTGTTGGGGTTTTTTTATATTAAAATGGAAATCAGAACCTGAGTCATTTCAAGTAAAGTCAGGTCTATTGACTCATTCCCGTATTTCTTCTTCATTCTGTATCCTAGAATGCCGTGACATTCTTCTCCCCCTGCTGGTAGACCAGCTCAGTGGACAACTGGATGATAACTCTCACAAACCTGACCATGAAGCCTGCTCACAGCTGCTTAGCAATATTCTTGAGGTACTCGATCGGAAAGAGGTGGTAAGTACCTGTTGTTTTCTTCCATTCTTCCTTGAGAGTAACATTGTCTAAAACTGTGGAGCAGCTGGTTTGGAAATGAAAATGAACTGTTGCAGGATGGATAGGTGGACTAGATGAATGGGGTGGGGTGGATGGATTGGCTGGATGGATCGCTGGATTGGCTGGAGGGATGGATTAGATTGGATTGGATGGATGGATGGATTGGATTGGATAGATTGGATGGATGGTTTGGATGGATGGATTGGATAGATTGGATGGATGGATGGATGAATGGTTGGGATAGATTGGATGGATGGATGGGATGGATGGATGGATGGATGGATGGATGGNCTTTGGGACAACTATGACCTGGATGACTGAGAATCTCCATAGACATTTAGCAATCCAAAGTGGTGATTTTCAGAAATTCTGGTTTCCAGCACTAAACTTCGTGTCTCTTTTCCAAAAATGCTGTTCAATACCAGAAAACAAGTCTCTTGTGTGTACTTCTTCTTAAATAAGACCATTGCTGCTCAGATACCTGTTCTTTATTGTGGTCTGACTTTTGCTACTTTGCCTTTGCCAGTTGACTTGCTAGGATTGTTGAATTGGCGTTCAAACTCTCAGAATATAGGACACAACCTGAAGAAGCTGATGGACGTGGAAGGAGGAGAAATTGTTAAGGTACAAAGGGGCCACATGGGGGCAAACCTTTGGGATGGATAAGTCATTAAGGACCAGGGTCCCATTTAACAACAAGATGAACAAAATAAGTACTCTCTTAGTTTGGAGGAGAGATGTAGTATTTTTCTTGACTAAGCCTATTTTCATCCCACAATTTTTTTTCTGTGTAACTCATATCAAAACACCACTTTTTTAGTATTGGTGTGATATTTATTTAGTATCAATCATAACTGAGAAAAAAATAGCCAAGGAACAATACTCTTGAGCTCAAATTAATAAAATTGATTAGGAAAAAAACTGAAGTAAAGGAAGGTAAAGGAAGAATTCCTTAAATCTTTTCTTTATCTTCAACTCCCTTCTTATTCTTTGTTCTAGTTTCTACAAGATACACTTGATGCACTTTTTAGTATAATGATGGAGATGTCTGACAATGAATCCTACGATTTTCTTGTATTTGATGCATTGGTAAGTTTTCTGTCTATCTGGATGCCCCTCATTATGTCTTTATTAACCAGTAGTAGCCTAGTGTTGATTCAGACATTTGGCCTAATCACTTTCCCTCTCATCCTCTGTATTGAATGTTTGCTTTAAACAAGTGCTGTATTGATGTCTTTCATTGATAGAGACTCAAGGGCACTATCCATCAGACCTTTCCCTAATTTTAGACCATTACAACTGTGCCATTAAAACAAACAACCTGAGATTGAATTGATAGGAAGAATGATTAGGCCAAAGTTACTCAGTGAGAATCAGTGGGACTTGTATCTAGAGCTCATTTGTTCAAATCCAATATCCCAGCCACTTCATACATTGCCCATCTCTTGTTTCCTATTGTCAACAACCTTAAGATGTGTGGACGTCAACTTGACATTTCCTAGCTAGCATAATTGAGATCTGTGAGAGAAAGATCTATTTATTTAATCCAATCGCCGAATGTTTCTGCATCCTCAGATAAACAATTAAGAGACTTTAGTACAGTGGTGGTATTCAGCCTGTTCGGACCAGTTCAGGTGAACCAGTAATGGCAACATTGCGGGTGGGCAGCGGTATGCCATCCTATTTAGCCATGTTTTCTAAGCCCCGCAGATGGGTGCAAGATGCATGCGCAAAGTGCCTGCATGGAAGACCACGTGCATGCGTGGAAGGTGCACATGGGTACATGTGCTCACATTTTGGGTGTGTGGCGAAGCGGTGGTAAAATTATGTGAAAACCCACCTCTGCATTAGTATTATGGATATTTGAATCATCTACCAGTAATTTGAGGGCCATTAACATATACTTTCTTGAGCTACAGTGTAGAGCCAGTCAGGTCAATTCTCATCTGTGAAAAGAAACTGGTAATTTTGATTCAATAGGCCATGTTCTCTCTTTCAGTCCAACCCATCTCAGAGGACTGTGAGGGTAAAATATATAAAATTCCCATATAAGCTGCCCCTGGAGAAAAGGTGGGATATAAAATCTAGATGATGATAATGATGATGATGATGATGATGATGATGAACAGTCATAAAAGTTTAGTTTTTTAAAAAAGTGGAGAGATTAAGCTCTCAAAGAGTGTTGCTGGGAAAGGAGGATTGTTCACCACTTCTATAATGCTCACACTTGGTATTGTGCAATCACACAAACATTTTATTCCCCAAATGTTTAGGCACGAGAACTATGCCTCAAGACACATATTGCAACAAGTTAAGGCAGCTTTCTCTTCGCACACTGGATTTCTGAGTGTTACTATTGCTCAGGGCACCAATACAGAATTTCAGGAACCTCTACATAATTCTGAATCCAGCTGCTTCAAGCAGTTCAGAAAGGATAAAGTCCTGAGAGAAATGAAATCGAAATCAAATATAACATCGCTGTTTTTGCTGGGTTAAATCTTTTATGATTTCTATTTTTCTTTTTGTAATTAGGTATTTATTATTTCCCTGATTGGAGATATCAAGTTTCAGCATTTTAATCCTGTACTGGAGACCTACATTTATAAACACTTTAGTGCCACCTTGGCCTATGTGTAAGTATAGTGTTTCATGAATAGCTATATTTTGGACCCCAGCAAGTGTCATTTAGTGCTTACCATTCTTCCAGGCTCTTGATAAATAAGTTTAAATGTTCCTTACATGTGAAGGTTCTGTTACAAATGCTCTCACACTGAATGCAAAGTAATCTTACTTATGGTGAGCAAACAAAGTTTTTGTTGTGGCCCGCCAGTGGCCAGCAGAGCTGGCAGCAGCTTCAGACAGTGAGAAGGTTGGGGAGGAACATGGGCCAGTCCTGGAGTCTGGGGAAGGCTCTGAGGAGGGCTCTGTGTCAGGGCCAGAGCCGTATGCCAGTTATCAGCT